ACCTTAGCAACCAAATAAATTATTTGGCCTTACAAGTGTCGTAACCTGTTTTACGCCAAGTGCTCCATACACATAAATTCATGTAATCCTCACCTCACCCTAGAAGTAGGTAAAGTTTTCATCCCCATTTTACAGCTGGAAAGTGAGGAGCAGAGATAAACTTGTTCACCTCGCATAGCTGTGAAGTAGCAGAGCCAATATTCTAACCGCAGCAATTTTGCTTCAGTCCAGAGTGTTACTAGCTATGCTGTACTGCCTCGAATTATTTTGCAAGAATATAATTTTTAAAAAACAGTAAGAAGAAAGTAAATTTTCTCCTTAGGGCATATCCTAAAAACTTGGCTCCTTTTTCAAATGAATTTCACAATGCCCATGCCGTGCCACTTGACTCAAAAAAAGTTGTCTTTCAACAATTACTTAATAATAATATTGCAAAAAAACAGAAGAAAAAAACACTTTTAAATTCTTTTTTTTTTTCTAGGAGATGTTTAAACATAAGAAACACCCCCTTCATCACTTGGAATGTATAGACTATAATTTAACATAGAGGATTTCAGATAATACATAGTTACAGATTATTAAAAATCATGTAGTACAACCCCTTATATAACAAATGAGAGAATTTAAGCCCAGAATGTACTGAAAAACTATATAAGTAGCACAGGTAGGTATGCAAACCAAGGTGCACGTCAAAGAGAGAATAAAATTCCAAATGCACTGTTTGTATATTTCAGCTGGCATTTCTACTGGATGTACTGATAATCATTGTGCAATCCTTAACATAAGAATTATGGATTCCCAAGCTTCCAAGTTACTTACATTATACGTACTCAGAGAAAAAAAGAACAACATATTTACTAAACTCAGGATCACAGAAAGGCTTACGGTCTAGTAGGGGAGAAAGATACAAAAAACCACACTGAAAATCTATAAAGACAACATCAAAATGACGGCAATTTTCTCTCAAATTTCTTCTACATTGCCGATCAGTTTTTCCTCAAATAGTTAGAATTAAGAGTCAATTCCTTGTTATCTCCTCTACTTCCTGAGAAGAAATTATCATCAAAGCAAAAGATGAAGCTAAGACTGTGTTAGGCAGATGAAGTTCCTCTATATAATTACATATTGCCACTACATCAGTTTGGTAAGGGCATAAATGCAATAAAAATTCACAAAAACATTTTAATAAACAAGTCAATTATAACGTTACAAATGTTACAATGTTTAACCAAAATTACAATGTTACTCCTAAGCTTTAGAGCTAAAGTACTTTGAAATTACTACCAGTGAGGATTGATAGACATTTGGCAGTAGGCCAGGCCTCAAGTATCCAGTCTCAACAAACACAGACTCCTGATACTCCCCCTTCAAAGCCCACGTGCTTCTTGGTCACAGTGGCTTAATTAAGTTCTCAGCCTTTGCCAGATACTCTATAACAGAAACTGAAGAACGTATACAATTAAAACCAAAGAGTTCTGCCATATTTTCATGCCATTTGCCCTCTTTTTAGTTTACAATGTTATATGTTTCTATTGTGATTTCAAATATAAAACAGCAAAAATCAGAGAGTGCGCTAAAGACTGTAATAGGTTTTATAAATGGACTTTCTAAAAAACATCAGAATTATCCAAAGAACTTTTTATTTCAACTCTTATTAAAAGCCTTTCTACCTTACAATTCTCTTCAGGCGTCTGACATACTAATATAACTAAATCATCCTTAAATATCAACTTAAACATCAGTAAGATATAACTCACTTAAGAATGAACACTGAGATGAATAATACTCACCCCCAACCCCCAAGTAAGTGCAGGTATACCTCTGTCTCATGCTGACAGGCATCAGGCAGTTCTGACAACCTTGCATCCTTTTTGACTGAAAACACCAGGTTGTATGCTAGTTACCTGTATTCTTCACCTAACAGTATATCTACAGCTAGCATCAATGACTGCCATTCTTGCCAACTCAGGAAACAAACTCTTACCCCTTTCCACGCTAATCTCGCATACGCTTGATTTGAAATCCCAACCCCTTGCGTCATCTGGAACCATCTTCCCTTCTACTGGGTCACTTTCATGTACAAAATCTACTCAGATCAGGTTCTCCTCATTACCTCTCTACACACAGAAACCATCTTTTTACTTTTTAATAGTAAGCTCTTGTTATGGATTGAACTGTGTCCCCCAGAAAAGTATGTTAAATCCTAATCCCAGGTACCTGTGAATGTGAACTTATTTGGAAATAGGATCTTTGCAGGTGTAATTAAAATAAAGTTAAGCCCATAATCCATGATGACTTGTGCCCTTGAAAGAAAACAGAGGGCCGACCGAGTGGCGGGTTGGTTGGGGGCTGGCGTGGGACGCCAGAGGGCCCCGGTTCGGATCCCACATATGAGGGCCAGTGACACTGCCCTCTGCAGCTAAGATGCTGAAGAGCAGCTCGACCTGGAGCTGGGCTGCCCTGAGTCTGCAGCCCCTGTTGCAGTGGGTTGCCATGGCTAACATATGTGGCCGGCCGTCCAGAGGCCAGCGACTGATCTGCCTCGCCTGGGAGGAGCGTAATGGTGGTGCCAGCTTCGGCCAGTGGAGCGGCGTCCTCCACAACTAGACTGAAGAACAAAAGGACAGCAACTTGTCTGTTCCCCTTCCCCCAATTCCCCAGTGCTGTTCCCATCCCCTAGATCCCCGATGAAAATCTTAAAAAAAGAAAAAAGAAAAAGAAAACAGAGATACAAGGAGAATGCCATGTGACAATGGAGGCAGAGATTGAAGTGATGCATGTACAAGCCAAGGAAGCCAAAGACTGCTGGCAACCACCAGAAGCTTCAAGTTCAACTTCAGCTGACACCACAAGTTACTTAACACTAAATACTGACTAGTTGTTCACTTGCCTCCCCCACTCCAAAAGAATGAATTACTTAAGAGCAGAAACTGTGGTTTTCCTATTCTATGCCTAATAGAAAAAGCACTGAATACCAATACCAGGGGTTGGCAAAACTATGCCCATGGACCAAATCCGACCAACTGCATAATCTTACAAATAAAGCATTATTGGAATACAGCCACACTCATTCATTTACTTATCATCTATGACTGCTTTCAATCTACAACAGCAGATATAAATAGTTGAGACAAAAACTGTACGTCCCGGGCCAGCCGAGTGGCGTGATGGTTAAGAACTGGCTTGGGACACCAGAAGGCCCCGGTTCGGATCCCACATATGAGGGCCAGTGACACTGCCCTCTACAGCTAAGATGCTGAACAACAGCTCAACCTGGAGCTGGGCTGCCGTGAGTCTCCGGCAGTGGGTTGCCATGGGCTACCGTATGTAGCCAGCAGCCAGCGTGAGCGGCCAGCAGCCGCAGTGAGTGGCCATCCAGAAGCCGGCGACTGATCTGCCTCGCCCGGGAAGAGCGCAATGATGGTGCCAACTTGGGCCAGTGAAGCAACGTCCTCCACAACTAGACTGAAGAACAAAAGGACAGCAACTTGTCTGTTCCCTTCCCCCAATTCCCCAGCACTGTTCCCATCCCTCCAATTCCCCAATAAAAATCTTAAAACAAACAAACAAAAAAACAAAAACTGTACGTCCCACAGAGCCTAAAACATTTACTATGTGGTCCTTTACATAGTTTCTTGACCCCTGCCCTACACAGTGAATGACTGAATAATCAGCGATGATACCAAATGCAACCAATTTGAGTCAAATTAACATGCATATTAACACAGATACCAGGAGTTTTGTATGTACATATGTGTATATAATAAATGTCTGAAGAATAGCACATAAAATATTATAATTCTTCAATAAGTTCAAACTGATGATTGCTTTTATTAGATGTACAATAGCTATCATATTGCTTAATAAGAAAAAAAACTACCATCTGAACAAACTTTTACCCAGTTAGTCCCCCAAATATACTTTAGATTGCTACTACATTATTGTGATTAGTTAAATACACTTCTTACAATGAACTTCTTTGGGCAAATACTTTTCATTTCACTGGGAGGAAATCAAATAGTTTTCAGGATCTAAAGCAATGTCATAATTTTCACACAATAAATGGCACTGTGTTATGTGTGACAGTAACACTTCACTTAAGCAGCTCTCACATTTCACTTAGAACATAGCTAAGAAATTAGAAACAAAAAAAGGAATACTTTAACAGCTACATGCTCTTGCAAAGTCCATACACAAAGCATATATATGTACGTATATATGTGTATGTATATACACAAAATATACATGTAAAGATATATTTTAATATATATACACTTATATTTATATGTAAATATATGCATTTAATTGATACTATTTATAAATATCAATTAAGATAATGTACAACTCAAAGCCTGTTAATTCTTAATTACACCAAATTATATATAATATATAAAGATAATATCTGTCTTGAATATGTAAAGATATAATGCTTAACAAAGATAAACTCAGAGTTTAGTTGGTTGGTTTTTCCTTTGCTTTTTTGTAATTGAGGTATAACTGATATATAGCCTTACATTAGTTTCAGGTGTACAACATAATGATTTGACATTGGTTCTTACTTATACTCAATCCACACAAATTTGGTACCTGACTTCGATAGCCAACCAAAATTAAAAGTACCAAATATTATATATAATGGGAAAATTTTATCCCAAAAGCAGGCTAACAAACTGGAGGGATGAGAAGTATCAAATGTCATCAGCCTTTGGATACTTTATAAAAGTTTTTAAAGGCTTACTATACAAAGTAAGGTCTCAGGATGAGGGGAACCTTCTTAGAAATAAGGAATCTGAATTATAACATCCTCACGTGTATGCACATTCAAATTTAAGACCACTGGTCCAGGCATTGGACCAAGTGAACACTGATAAAAGAAAATACTGTCTAGAATTAAATTACTCTTCTCTTTCTTGCCAATTAACCAAATCCAAATGAAGGTGCAATTTCACAAAATATGGATGGAAAACTTACAGCAATAATCATTTAAAAGATGACAATACCTTGAGCACTTGAACTTGACCTTCTGTAGTAATTTCATTTAGCAGCTCACAAAAGGACTGACACAGACCTACTGCGTATGTCTGAAATTCAATCAGAAGTCAAAATATACATATGAATATATCTGCAATATCAAAAACCACGTAAAATTCAATTTGGGACTCATTATAATAATCTATTTGAGAATTATATACTAAGTTCCAACTAGAACTCTTTAGAAAAATTTAGGAAATAATACAGCTTATTGCTATACTGATTTTTATAGAAATATGAGGCTATATTTATTCATAACATATTTTGTGTTAAAAAACATAATTCATGGGACTGCATCACATCTGCCCTGCAGGTGGCCAATGCTCATAAAGTGTCCCCCCAATTTAAAGTAACATAGATGAATCATTTACATTTGGAAAAGGTACCTCCTGACTTCAAATACAATCAGAATAATAACTATATAAATTTTACAACGCAAAAACTACAACAACATACCTGTAAAAATTCTGTTGATGATAAAAAGATATAACCATTGATGATCTTAAAGCAGGTTCTGAGACTTTCTGAACTTAGTTCTGCCAAAATAATATTTTTTTTAAAAAAGGGCAAACTAATTCATTGTTCAAAATCAGTTTAAATAAAGTGATTTATTTAAAAGTTAACAATCCTTCTTTACAAATTTTTTCTGAGTGGTATTCAGAATAACAGTATATAGATATTCATCTAAAAACTGGCATCAATCCATAACTTAATGCTTTCCCATATAACTCCAGCTAATTAAAACAATTTAGAAAAGAATTTAAGCTCCTTTCTTTTTCCTTTCAGAAAAGACTACATAACCATTTGGCCCAACCTTTCAAATCAAACTAAATTTCTAGTGTTAACGTGGCAAACAACATGCAAATGAATCATTTACCATCATATTTTGACATCTGCTTCAATGGGTTCACTCAATAAGCATTTACTGAGTGTCCACTGTGCTGGCACTGAATATGCCACCCTACTTATGAAGGGTCCCTGTTATAGTCCAAAAAATCACACTGTGTTTAGATATTCTCAATCATTGGGCTTTGTTCTGCAAATCTGCTCCCCTATAAAAACCTACACATTAAAAAAAAAAAAGTTCTTAAAAAAGTGATTAACAGAACAACAAAGGAAAATGATATTGTTTTCAGCTATTCTTTTTCAAGTGCAAAGTAGAAAACTACTGTTAAAATTGAATATGACCAAAGTTCACACAGTATTTTACAAGTCTTATCACATACAATAATAATACAATAGAATACAGAATGTGTGTGTCTGTATATATATGTATATATATATTTATACAGATCAAAACATGACCCCAAAATATCATCTATATATATTTAAACAGTGCCATTATTTATTGCTAATATTTAGAAATTCTATTCACTTGCAATAAGACAGATTAAAATTTTTTTTCTGTCAAAATATTAGCCTAGGCCCTGAAGAATAGCATATGGGTTATCTAGCTCATATTCTAGCAAAGTAAGAAGACATTCTATTTAGAGAGAACTTCCCATATAGTTTCATAAGAAAATAACAACCCTACCTCTAGCTCAAAATGTATTTTAAAGACATTAGAGTTCCTAAACTTTAGGATTTAACAGATTAATTTAGAATGATGATGTGGAAGGGATAAGGTCTGATCAACTTGTTACCATGGTAATGGAAGAAATAAAAAGAAATAAAGGCTGTTATCTAATTATTTTTTACAACAAAAGTAAGATAAAAATCTAAGGATAAAAGTGTAGGCCTTTATAATAAAGCCATCCTTATGAAAAATTCACATTATGTTTTTTTCTCCTCAAGAAGAAAGTCCTGTCACTGCTGAACAGATCAACATTAAACAGCAGACTGGCAACCCCTGTGAAAAATAAGGCAAATGGGTCTATGTTTAAGTGTGAAGTTAGAATGGCTAGGCAGGCCTAGAACATTCCAGGCATGTCAGGAAATATAGTTTCTAAATCATCATCATCTGAAATTTTATCAAGCTCTATGATGAAGAAAACAATATTTAACACACACTCATCTTAAAAACCATAGCGTCCATATCTTCTTGCAGATATTTTTAGAACTATTCCTGGATCAATCTATATAAGCAAATACTCAAGTGATTAGTCTATTTCATACTGTTCTCCATGCCTCCATCACGCCACAGATAGCTTTTACTAAATTTCAAGGGCATGCTATCATCAGAAAATATCAAATACTGATATTAAATATGCCCCTAATATTTATAAATTTACCTGTGTTGAGGTATATTGAACGCTGTTCATTAAATCCAAGAGCTCCTAGTGACATTTTGAAGAAAAATTATTGTCTGGTCTTAGTATCAGACTTTGTAATAGATCTACATTTATTTGCAGACCTGTGAATAATTAAAGTCAAATGTTCTCAACCAGGGCAATTTTTCCCTCTAGGGGATATCTTGCAATGTCTGGAAACTTTGGTTATTAAAACAGGCATCTAGTAGGTTGAGGCTAGGATACTTAATATTATTAAGCTTTCTGCAATGCACTGGATAGCCCCTCACAACAAAGAATTAACTGGCTCAAAATGTCAACAGCGTCCAGACTGAAAACCCCTCATTTAAGTGATCAAGTGTTTCTTTCACAGACTAAGAGAGAGGTTTGAGGCAAATTTGCAGCCCATCCAAGTACCTAATTATATGCTATGTGCATATGTGGTTTATGTCTATTAGTCAAATTATAATTTATACAACACTTTTTCTCTATTCTTTTGCTCCTATTTTCAATTTGTACTTTCAAGTGTTATATTTTATTTATTCTGTTAAGTTTCTTTTAAGAGGACAAAGAATTACTGAATTATGCTATAGAAGTTCAATAGGGAATCTATTTTTGTTTAACAGTGCTAGTTAATATTTATATTTGGAAATGCAACTGTAATAGTTTATTCCATTTCAAATATGATAAAATATAAAGGCTAAAATGTGTGAGATCATCACGAAAACAGGTGGGAAAAAAATCCCTTCCAAATTAGATAGGAAGTTACCGGCAAAAAAATTTTAATGGTCAAGGAATATTAGTTTGGCATTTTCAACAACATGGACAAGAGCCAGTCAGATGTTTATCCTTTAAGTAATGAGATCTAAGTAAATTAACAGTATAAAATCGTTTATGGGATTTTAGAACCAAATTATTAGAATTACTTTTAAGTTGTTGGAAAAGTCATGACGTATTTTTTCTGTTTTTCGTTGCAAAAATGCGTCATGACTTTTCCGACAACCCAATAGTTACAGCCTCCGGTTCTACTTAAAGTATCTCCAGTTGTACTTACATTTAGGGAAAAGAACATAAAATGAATTTTAGCCTTGGATTTATTCACATTTAATTAACATATTCTAAAAATCATTAAGTTAGACATCTCTGGTTTCATGTGCCAAAAACTTAGCTTCGAAAACATTAAGCTTCATGATTTCACACCTCACATATAAGTATTACTTCAACAAACAATAATATACTCAATGAAACTACAAAATATAGAATTTTTAAAATCTTTGAAAATTAGAAAAGCTCAAATCAAATATCAATGATCACAAGGATGAAATTTCACTAGTTCTTACTCAGTTAAGTAACAAATCCTACAGAGCCAGTGGTTGGGCACTTTTTCTTTTAAAATTGCAGCAATGTTAACAGTAATAGTAGTAATAAATATAATTGCAAAACACTTAAATAGTGCTTGCTACGTGCTAGGCGTTATTCTAAACATATAAAAGTCCTTTTTGACTGATAAGTACTATGTATCAACTACAAAGCTTTCTATGGTAGAACTGTACTACAGTACCTATTAATAAAACCTGCATTAAAATAGTGTTATAAGGTTAGAGCAGGGTTAGTCATCTGCTTTGTGATTATGCCTCTCCTTCCTCTCTCCTACTGCACTGTGTAAAGGCCAGGCATGCTGAATTTGAGGAGGGAACACAAAGGTGATGTGGAACCACTGTCCAAAGTCACCATATGTGAAAGTGGCTGAATCCTGTTCATGACAAAGTTGATCATGGGTCTGGGTTGAGGTTTCCATTCTTAGGTCAAGTATAAAGAAACGCTGTGGATTACCCAGAGTGGCAACTGTATGTGCTCTCCACATTAGCTAGAACAGAACTAAAAGGCTTTCACCACAGGAAGGTGAAGTGAAGGGACATTCCCTATGCTCTTTCTCTACGATGTCTTAAAGACAGACAAAACTTTTTCTAGCAATAAGTGATCTATCATCACTGTCTTCATCTTTGGGAATTTTTTCCATAATGTTATGGGAATTCTTGATGATAAACAGCAAAGAGTTCTTCATTAGAAAACAAGATGGTATTTTGGTGTTATTGAGATTGCGTCTATTCTAAAGAATGGGATAGAAGACTAGAAAAATGTGAAGGACTAATTCAATTATCTAGACACCATGGTCATCCAGCAAGTGAGGAGAGATATTTTTAAACCAGTTATAATTTTGGTTTAGTCCACATTTGTTGACAGTCTCAGAGTGAGTCTACTCCTCTAGTACATCATTATATCTCAGCAGTATTTCAGACTCTAATAAAACTGCTCACTACAAATAAGTTCTCAGAAAAACAATCTTCAGAGATCGCCAAAATAAGTATGCCTTTTTTCCTAGCATTTTCCTACATAAACACCCTCTCTTGACAATATTAAACTATTGAGCTAGTATACCCAAAGTTCTAATGAAGGAATTAAAGATGCTTCTCGGCCGGCCGAGTGGCGCGATGGTTAAGAACTGGCCTGGGAATTAAAGATGCTTCATGGATGAGTCTTAAAGAATGGGGACTCTGAATGGAAAAAACAAATATTTTTTACATTTTAAAAATAAATCATTTTTTAAATGGTAGTGTTGTAAAAAAGAATCCAAGGACCAGTAAATAGCACTGTATAAAATTCTTAAACATTCCATCTGTTGAAATGTGAATCGGCACTGGTAAAATACCTCACAAAACAACTCTATGAACAAAATCATTTTTTAAATTTAAGAATATTACATACTTGTGAATAAAAATATTAATTTTCTATTATCGATTATCATCAGGATACATGTTCACATTGGCAAAAAAAGAATCTAATTAGATCTCAGCCAAGGCCGCTAAAAGGGACTGAGGGCTCCTCCTGGCAGTGTCCTGCTCTCTGGTTTCATGCACCAAAAACTTTGCTTCAAAAACATTAAGCTTCGCGATTTCACAGCTCATATGTAAGTTATCACTTCAACAAACAATAGTATGTTTTCCTAATATTTATTAATCTTTATATGTGGTTCACATTGTAGTTCCTTAGCTAAGTCAGAAATAGGCACAAAGTGCATTTGTGAAAAACTGATAGCACAAAATGACTTTGTAAAAAAGAGCTGGATAAAACCATGGTATATAGAAGCAGTTTTACAATATAATCTTTTAAATGCTATATAGAACTTCTATCAAACAGAAATTTTACCAAAGTTCAAACTTAATTTGTAAATAGTTTCCTAAGAACATTTTTTGTTTTTATTTAGTAATTTAGTAAATTTAGCATTTGCTCTTTAATAAGCTAAAATGATTCTTGAAAGTTATAGAGAAAAAAAATCTAGCAACGAATGAAACACTATTCAACATACTTGTCAATATCAGGGATACTAGTAAAAACAGAAGGTACAATTGAAAGTCACCTATAATGCCCAAAATTATGGCTGCATTAAAAAAACATCAAGTTTATGCTTTAATACATACCAAGAAGTGGTGACATATTCTGAAATATACGAAGTAACTCTGGTGTGATACATGGACTGTTTTCCAAAGTCACTAACCTGGGGAAGGGAGGGAAGATTAAATCACTTTCTGTAACCATTAAAGCAATTAATAATAAAACTTAAATATAAAAAAAACTATCCCATCTAAAGAAATAAATAAAAATAAACAATATAAAAAGTTATGAAATCATCTTTCTAGAAAAAAATGACCAAATTCATCAAAATTAATAACCTATCTATAAATCATGCAATATTATTTCTACATACATAGCAAAAATAGTAAGGAAAGTAATTACATACTAAAACATGTAAAGTTATGATGATAGCAAAAGCATGATTATTATGGATTGGTCAAGGAGAGATAAAAATTATTTCACTGTTTTCATTTTCTTGATCTAGTCTTCTATCACATGTAACTGATGTGTCCCTTCAATGAGACACTGGACTAATTAATTAGTAAAACAACTATGCTAAATGTTTAATAAGTTGAACTTTAAAAATAAATATGAACAAGTCAGTCTCACAATATTAGCAATCTGAAACAATCAATGTATAAAAAATAAATATATATGTGGGTTGTGGTTTATCACGGAAATGTGCAGTTGGTTTACCTCATCAACTCCCCGCTGCCCCAAAGAAGTTAAAGAAGAAAAAACATGACTGTCACAATAGCTGCAAGAAAAGGGGGTGGGGGCGGGGTTAGGAATCCTATTCAATATTTAACATTCACTATAAAAGCTCTCATCTGATTATAAATAGAAAGAACTTCCTTTACCTGATAAGAAAGCACCTACCGAACACTCAGAAAACACACCTAGTGATGATATTGTGGGAACTGTTCTCTGGAAAAACAGAAACATGCCTCAAACAAATCCTCTAATATCTTATCTACTGTCACATCGATTGAGTGTATGTATGGAGGGTCTCTAACATGATATGCTAAGTAAATTACTAAAAGATACAAGGGTAGGGGAGAAAAAATAAAGTCCTTATTCACAAAACATATGACTGACAGACAAGAGAGGGGGAAAGAATTCATAAACAAATTATTCAAATTACTAAGAGAGTTCGCAAGGTTGCTGAAGACATCAATCAGTATACTATAATTGCCTTCCTCTTGTCACCAGAAGCAGGAGACACAGATAGGCATTTTGTAAACATGAGATGTGAAAACACAAAACCCAATATTCCAAAATGCTGACAACACAGTACACTATAAAGTATCAGTTGCCTACCCTCGTAAGCCAATGTCCATCATCATGAGAATGTATCGTACTGCATATTGCCCAGGAAAAGATCAAAATTTGAAGCACGGTTTCTACTGAAACCTTTTTGCACAATGTAAAGTTGAACCATTGTTAAGTCAGAGACCATCTGTACCAAAATCACCTGAATTTCTATACATCGAAACAAATACTTAAGATTTAAATGATGATGTTAATAGAGTCAGAGATACAAAAATCTAGCATCATAAAGATGTCAGTTCTCTCTAAATTGTTATACAGAATCAATAAAACTTCAATTCAAATCCCTACAGTGCTCTTCCTGGAAATTAGGAGGCTAATTCTAAAATTATATGGAAGGCAAATGACCAAGAACAAAAAATTTCTTGAGAAAACAAAAAAGTATGAGGCGTAAGAGAATATACTTGCTTTACCAGATATGACTTACTATAAAACCACTTTAATTAATATCATAAACAGAATAGAAAACACAACAAACAGACCTTTTTGCCTATGACAGGAAGGCTCCAAGAGTCCGTAAGGCAAGGTAAACTACTCAGTATTTGGTGGTGAGACTGGGTCTCTACCTCATAGAAAATACAGAAATTAATTCCAAGACTCACATGAGAAGGGTAAAACTTGACATTACAAGATGTCAGGAAGACATTTTTTATGGCTTTAGGTTAGAGAAACATTAAATAAAAAGACATTCAAATATAACTACATTAAATTAATAATTACTATGTATCAAAAAAGGCCTAAAAAGTTAAAATGTAAGTAACACACTGGGAAAAGATCATTTGCAATATATATATAACTGACATATAGTATCCAAAGCAATAACATCCAAAAGAAGTCAATAAGAGAAAAATGGACAGAACACAAGAACAAACATTTCATAGAAGACACAAAAGTTGGCAATAAACTTGGGCTATAAAAAAAACTAATAAAAATATACCAAATTTGATGAGTAAGCAAGAAAATATAAATTTTAACAAAACAAGGGACAATTTTACGCCCGAAAGATTATCAGAATTTTCCATCTGATGTATCATGTATTGGCAAAGTTACAGAACAATGCTAATAGAAGTTGTCAGGTTGGTATAATGACTTTGGAAAATAATTATTATCTGGTAAAGTTGAATATGTGTATATGTGTATACTTATGACCAAGCAATTTCCACTTCTAGGCATGAATGCATATAGTGGATAAGGTCTCATTCATTTGTACTAGGAGTCATGTAAAAGAATGTTCAGAGTCACATTATTTGAAAATCAAACAAAATGCCAAACGAGTGAATGAATTCTCTTACGGTCACAGCATTAAACTCATCAATATGGATAAATCTCAAAACAGGGAGCCAAAAAAGCAACTTAGAACACATAAAATACAATTTACATAAAGTTAAAATACACTGTTTAGAGGTACACACGTAATTTTTAAAACATTAAAACACAAGAAGGAAAACCATGGAATGAAAACAAAATGTGGGTTCACTGGGCTCTCCCCGACATGGAAGCAGGGGAATTCAACAAACATGCCACAGCATGAGCTTCACAGACATTCTCACTGTTCCGTTTCTCTACCCAGGTATGGAAAATGGTTTTCATTATATGTAAGTGATAAATAATTACAATTAATACAAGCTCCGTATTATTTTGTATCTGTGAGTATGAACTACTTCGCAAGTTTTAAATGCCAAAATCAGAGGGGGAGGGATACAGGGTGAGCCAGCCACCCACAAAATGAAGCACTTCCCAAGTCCACAAGCAATGGCATCTCTAGACACCTTACACCAATCAGCAATGACAAGATTTGATTTAACTGTTAAAGAATAAAATTTCAGGAAAGATAAAATATTTATCCTATTCACCTTTAAAACAACCATGAAACCACAAGAAAAACTCATGGGATTTCCATGAGAAAAAAAAAAAAACGAAGGGCATATTTTAAATTCCAGAAGACGTTAAAAACTCTTTGTCAAATGGGTCCAGATCAAGATCTACCTGAAGCGTGTTCTTTCCTTCCCACCTGTCATTACTTTAGTAAAACAGCCATTCAGGTTGTTATCACTCTCACTTCCTACGTTAGTTTCCAAGGTATAAATCAGGTAATTAAAAAGAAGAAAAAAGTCTTGAAGAATTTAAGCTATTTAAAAATAAAATGGCATGGTATGTAACTCCAGATTAAACAAATGACTTCGAAAAGAGAGGAAGTGAAGCAAACAAAATCAAAGCACTAAATTCTTTACCATCAAGGAAAGGGAAAAGTTACTATTTTGATGAATAGACAAATCTCTATGTACCAACATCTTTGACTAGAGAAATATAAAATTTAATGTTACCCTTACACAAAAACATAGAAAAGAGAAAGCATAATGTAAAAAGATGGACATGTCAATTCAACAAATAAAAGAGCATTAAAATTCTTTTGAAGTAAAGCACCTTTGGTTAGGTTAAAATATAAAAATTTGCTCTCTGTAGACGACATAACTAAATTTCAAAAAGAAAGGCTAAAATGTAAAAGATGAACAAAGATAGTTAAGTCAAATCTAAACAAAATAAACCATATGACATTAATATCAGATAAAATTTAAATGCAAAAGAATGAAAGGTAGAAAATTAATCACTCCATACATATATTACATCACATGATACTTCATGAAAATATTTTAAATTTGAAATACTATATTTTACTAATAAATCTTTTAACAATATACAAAGTATCAAAATTTTTTGCAGTGAATAGTATTTTTTTAAAATTACAGATCAAAAATGGGAGAAATAAAGAAGGGGCACTGACACAAAGAAAAATGAATGGGATACTTTAATAAATTTGTGTCAAGATGAAAAAGCAAAATACAGTTAAAAATGATAGATATATAAGAGTCTGCATCTTTAATACCATCATTACTATTTTTTTAAATATATTCGAAAACAAAGCCGATAATAATTAAAATTCATATTAAGTTTTAAAATTTGTACAAGTGACATGTTGTATTTACACTGCAATAAATCCAGACCTGAATCATATACTTTAATATCAGCAAAAAATAAATGTTGGCTCAAAGAAGTCATTAAAAAATTGTAATGCTACCACCAAAATAAAAAATAGATTATATACGAGTATATCAAGAATTAAGGGAAATAGGCAGCTACACTCCAAAACATATTCACAACTTTAAATGTTTTAGCATTTAAAAAGAAAAGGTAGGAGGGGACTTGGGGAGTGGGTGAAAAAGGGAAAGGCATTAAGAAGTACAAATTGGTAGTTACAAAGTTGTCAGAGGTATGTAAAGTACAGCATAAGGAATATAGTCAATAATATTGTAATAACTATGTATAGTGTTAGATGGGCAACAGATTTATCAAGGTGATAGATGGGAGGGGGTTAAAAACAGGGTGAAAAGGTGAAGGAATTAAGAAGTACAAACTGGTAGTTAAAAAAGTCATGGAGATATAAAGTAAAGCATAGGGAATATAGTCAATAATATGGTAATAACTATGTATAGTGCCATGTGGGTACTAGACTAGTCAGGGGATCACTTCTTAAATTATATAAATGTCTAACCACGATGCTATACACCTAGAAGTAATATAAAATAATACTGAATGTCAACTGTAATTGAAAAATTCAAAAGGGGGAAGGAGGGGATTGGTGAAGGGTAATAATAGGTTCAAATGTCCAGATATAAAACAAGTAAGTCGTGGAGATGTAATGTACATCACGGGGAGTACAGTCAATAATATTGTGATAGCATGGTACTGTGGCAGATGGTTGCTGGACTTACAGTGATCACTTCTTTAGGTATATAAATGTTGAATATTATGTACACCTGAAA